TCCAATATAGTGTGGTGGGTGTTTTATTAAAAAAAAATCTAAGGAACCAAATTAATCATTTTACTTCAGCTTAATACTAAGAGTTTCACTTTTGAGTGATTTTTTTTTGTATTCCAAAAGAAACAAGTAAAGGGACAAAACTTCATAGAAGCCTCCCACCACAAACCAAATACCAGCTGTCCTGTTAAGAAATAGTGGATTGAATTGACTTTTTGTGACTTGTCAAGTTCTGCCTCTTTATATCAGAACTTGCTAAACTCAAATGCAGACCTCCACCTTAGGTCTATATGTAGCAAGGATATAAAGGGATAATTTCAGTGAAGGCATTACTACCAAGTGCCAAAGCTGAGTTTTTTTGTTTGTTTTTAAAATAGATTTTAGAAACATTGATTGGTTGTTCTCCTTATCTATGCATTCATTGCTCCTTGTATGTGCCCAGACTAGGGATCAAACTGCAACCTTGAGGTATCAGGATGACACTCTAACCAACCAAGCTATCCGGCCAGGCAGAGTTTTGTTTTAATGTACTATCTGATCAGGAAAGTAGTCAGGAATCCATAGAGAAGCAAAGTTAATTCATTTAATGTCAAAAGGAGGATATCAGATTTGCATATATAATCAGTTGTATATTCCTCTCTGATTACTCAGTATTAGTGTTTTGCCCTTTTAATGTTTAATGTTGGCAGTTTTCTTACATGAGTTGTACTCCCTGAACCAAAGAGGACTCACAGCTTTGCATGTTTTATGTTATTAAGCCATATTATTACCTGGTTTTGTATTTAAATGTGCCTGCCCTTTTCCCCAACTAAATTTCATTTAACAAATAATTGAGTTACCCGTTTTGTGCCAAGCAAAATGTTATACTGCTGTATGCTTTGGGGAAGGGGTGGGAGAGAGAAGAACTTGGGCCACTTTGCAGTCTGAAATTTCATTTAGATATTAAGATTAGGCTACTTATTTTACAAAGTTAAATGGATTTGTCTGATGCCAGGAGGAAAACATCCAGAACCTGGGTAAAACTTCAATCCCAAATAGCCTGATTTCCTTCCACTCAGAACTAAATCAATATTGTGTTGATTACATATAAAAAGATATTACTACAAGGCAGGACTTGATCTGAAAACTTCACAAATCCAGCTCACACATTCATAAGCCATTTTATGTAAAAGGCGCCATTCAAGAAACAGGAAGCCACCATGCACCAGTGGGGAAAGTGTCAGGTGAACATGTTTGCTCTCCACCCGCTTTCGTCCAACTCTTGCAGAGACACTGTTCTCAGTACCAGCATCTCTGGGTCTGAAGCAGCATTTTCTAAGTTTTCAATATCCAAATTTGTGACTTCTCTACATTCTGTGCCATTCATTGACCTTTACCTCAGAGGACCAAACTTATGCATACCTGAGATCCAGAAAAATAATCCATACAGCCCTTGCCGTTTCAGAAAGAGCTCTTTGAACCCAAGTGCCCAGGTTGGACTGTAAGTTACAGTCTGCTTTCCTTATATAAATAATACTTAGAGACAGTTTGCTGTACATTTCATGTGAAAATACAGTTAACTCATGAATGGTCAAAGACTGATTACTGAGACCCCATCCCATATCCACATTGTTTTTTGACATTGTATATATAACTTTTAACACTTCCACCAAGGACTGAAGGGATGAGATGAGATTCCATGTAGTCCATTTGCTACTTTCCCATAACACTGATAAAACCTTGTTGAAGGGAGAAGAGTCGTTAAGTCCCAATATCATAACTTCAATTATACAAAATGAAAATAAAACCGGTGCCATGATCTCTGAGAGTCAATTTCCATAAACTCGCATCATAAAGGGAAAAGTTGCATAAAAACAATATTGAAACTAGAGATGTATATTTTCATAGAAAATGCTATTATAGTGCCCTGGCCTGTGTGGCTCAGTTGGTTGAATGTTGGCCCATGCACCAGAAGGTCGCCGGTTTGATTCCAGTCAGGGCACATGCCTGGGTTGCGGGCTTGGTCCCCAGTAGAGGGTGTGCAGGAGGCAGCTGATAGATGTTTCTCTCTCTCTCTCTCTCTCTCTAAAATAAATAAAAACATTTTTAAAAAAGAAAATGTTATTGTAGATGTCCAACATTTCAGCCAATAATATGGTAAATGAACCAAGACTCTATTCACTATGACCATTTTGTTTTTAATCTATCTGAAAAACAAATATGCATTATTTCTCTAACAGCACAAATGAGAAAATGATTAGCAACATTAATGCAAGGCAGCATACTGTAGATAGAAACTTACCCTCCACTGTGAAATTTCCAGCATTTACTTAAAACTTAACATTTTAAACTGCATTGCAATAAATAAAAATACATTTATTTGGTACTTATTTTCAAAATTACCAGTCTGCATGGCTTTCTGAGAAATTCAAACAAATTGAACAAAAACACATTGATAATTTTTGAGCTTTCTTAAAACACTATCAGAAACACATGCAAGTGAAAACATGAGAACACCTGTTTAAAACCACCGTTTAAAATTCAGGCCCTTACTTAATAGGACATAGAAAAAAGATATGAGAAATCACTTTGGCCCCAGTTAAATAACAGCATAGCAAGGAATAACAATATTAATTAATAGAAAATAATGACAATATTTTTGGTTCTATTTCATTCCTTACTAAGCCATCAGTTGAAAAGTATGATTATTCTCTTCCACATTGAAGTCCTACACAAAAAAAGAGGTTTACTCAAATCAGGACATAAAAATCCAAAGTTGTGCCAAAAGTAAACAGTATTTTTACTTTCTTGTAGGTCCCAGGTTGGTATAGTTAACAAACAAAACAAAACCAGACAAAAGTATTACACAGATGTGACTTAGCACCAGTTCTATTATGCAAAAAAAATAAATAAATAAATGCACATGCTGCATGCTGTTTTATGCAATTCTTTTTAATTTTATGTCTTTATGAGAAGCAGATTGTTTCCATGACTAAAACTTCTACAAAGAAAAATGATCAAATAATAAATTGAGGGATTTTTGTTTTTGTTTTTTTCAAAACATAGCTGCTTTTCACTACAAACCCATAACCTTGTTTCAATGGCATAAAACATAAAAAAAAATGATCAGGCAGTGTCTCATTGGAGTAGAATAATACCTAGTTGCTGAAAGTTGTCTGACAAAACACAAGCAGTTAATAGGTTTAAAAGACTGCTTGAACAACAGTACTTTGGATATTAATAGTCAGTGCCAGTCTTCAGAAGAGAAAAGGCATTTGCCCCATGGGCAATTTTTCAGATTTGACAAGCCAAACCTAGTTTTGAGGGTAGAGTCACTGGCTTGAAAGTGGAATTGAAGACAAGAGAGTCAACAAATCATTTGTTGGTTATTATCTTAATAGTAAACATAATCTGCTTTGTTACATTCATTTCTCAACCTTTGCATGTACTAGCATTCCTCTATTAAATGTGATTAGAAGACATCGATGAAACAACACGTGGCTCTCACTTTAGATAAATTAGAAGATTCTGTAGCCCCTTCAGATATTAGGTTGCTCAAGAGGCTGGTTATGAGTACACACTGTGCCTCGTCATTCTGATCAACCACACTGATTGGCATCCTACCTTGACTTTACCAGCTGGTACTTGTCTATCAAGTTAGGACTATTGGAAATGAAACATGTGATATGAAAATGTTGTCTTCAATACTTCTGAGGATTAAAATCACCTTTTCGTGCTGCTTGTAGTCTGATCCCATTGATATCTTTAGTTGCCAAGTCATGTATAACTTTGTTGGGAATAAAAGGTCATCCACTGCCCCTGAGGTCCTAAACCCAATATAAGGCAGAATGAATCAGTCAAGCTTTCGATAGAACATGCACTGCATTAAGATGTGAGTCTTTATGAATCTGTAAAATAGCCAATTAAAAAACATATTCATGAAGTCCAAAACCAGTAGCAGGTAAAAAGATAAATTGCTTATATTAAGAGTTTACAAATCCTACACACATACCACTTTCCCCAGCTAGAAAACTATGGGCATTGCCCTTGACTCTTCCTAACTCCATGGCATTATTGAGGATTGAGGAGGCAGTTGTTACTGTTTAAAAAAGTCATTTGGGGGATATTTAGTGGCTTTTTACAAACTGATGTCACCCAACCCTGGGTGGAAAGAATTACATAACCAGAAATGGAATACTGTTGTCCTCTCTTCCCAAGTGCCATCTTTCAATATTTTCTTTGCCAATCCCACTGGTTGTATCACTTTAATCCTGTTGATTTTCTAGGCTGGAATGGCATGGGGTTCTTCAAAGACAACTCTGCTAATTGTTCAATGTCCCTTTAAGCCTCAAAGGACAATCTGAGCCCCTTTTAGATTCTTCTTATAAGACATTGTTTTTAAAAGGAAAATTCTTTGAGTAGTATGAACAATAGTAATAAGATTAATTTCCTTCTGATGGGTGCCCATAAGCCCCTCTAATATCATGAAGTCTATGTTCTACCTGTTGTCTCATTTCTTTTGTCTATAGTTGTTTCTACATGAAAGTCAATAAAGTTTCTTGTACGTGGTGTTCTGACCAAATCAAAGAACATATGAAAAGATCCTTATCCGCTGTTGTCCTCTTTGAAGATAAATGATACTAAAGATGACCTTGTGATAGTTAAAGGGCCAACAAAGCTGTCTCAATATCTCTTGATGTTAATTTGCTCCTTCACTGGCACCAAATTAAAGTTGTCGTTGAACTGAAGAAATGTCTGTTTTAGATCAAGAAGTTTTGCAAGCACATTGTTTTACCAACTTTCAGAAACTAGATGTTTTGTATTTCCAAAGTTTGCCGACACACCTGCAGTGATTTTGACCTATGTTTTATAGTTTGGCAAGAGAAACAAGGTTTTTCATTTGATCTTACTCAAGCTTTTAAATGTCGCTCTCTTGCTCTTGTTGCTAACTACATTTTTTGTTTTAAATGTTCTTCTTATAAATTGTTTATTGTAAATAAGGGTGTCCCTGATCTAAAAGACCTTCAAAATATTTAAAAATATGAAGAACTAGGATATTTCCTTAAATATCTTCTAGAGTCAATGTACTTCTGACTGTTACGTCTAACATGATAATTATGAGAAGTTAGCCTGAAATCAGTAGAATGCTCATGTCTTTTGAACCTCCTGGTGTCCCGGTTATATTCTGACTTCCACAGAGTCTCTCTTCTTTGGGGAAAATGCCTTGAATAGAAAGTATTAGTACATTTTGATGATGTTGTTGGAATATGAAAGGGCCTGTAGTTCACTTTTTGGTCAAATGTATCGTTACTAAACCTCCTCCTCCTTCTTGGACTATTGGTTAAAAGGTAACTGGAACTAGATTTGTGGTAGTTGCCCTTATCAAACAAGTGTTTGGGGGCTACAATTTTCTCCCTTTTTCTGTTGCTGTTCTCAGCTCTCATGGAATTGTTTCCACCTTCAAGCAATGAACGTCTCTGTTCATATGTGGACCTTGAGACTGTATTCCTAAGCTGGTTACAATGTTTCTTCTCCCCAAAATGTTTCCACTTTGAATACAAGGTTGGCTGACGTGATCTAATTTCTTGATTGTAAGTGATGATTTTATCAGCATGAAGAGTACCTCCTTCTGGAGCATTTTCATATGTGACCACAGATTTCTCTTTCTCCTCTTTGTTTACGGTAAGGGTTTCACTGAAGCATTCAGAACCACTACTAATTTCCTCGAAGAAATCTGTCAACTCCAACACTAAGTCTGCTGACCTTATGGATGAGGAAACTTGGTTTTGACTTCTGGATTTTGAATCTTTGACCTGGTAAGCATGGGTCTTTTCCAACAAATAGCCCTTTCCATCACTTGGGGTCAGCTGATTATCAGCCTTACTGGCTATTTCCTTGTGATGATTTTTAAACTCCTTAGAACATTCTTTGGCATAATTCACTTTTTCTCTATTTTGTGGTTTTTGCACAGGATTCTGAGTATGAATCTTTGCCAAGTAACCACCTTCTTGAACCTGTTCTCTCCTTTGCAGGTTTCGCATTTGGCTCAACTTAGTTGAGTCACAATTGTACTTTCTCAAATTGATTTGAAATCCATTTTCTTTAGCATGGACAGACCTCTGCCACTGACATGTGTTTGTTGGGTGACTTGGTTCTAGGCAAATAGAAGGATATTTTGGAATGTGATAATAATAGTTTAATAGAAAGTCAATAACATCACATGTTTCATAGATTTTCTTTTTCCTGCCATGGTTTCTCTCAGATAATCTGGAAGGACCAGATTTATTAGAACTGACGTGGTCTTCTCTCTCAAGAGGTTTATGTCCAACTACTACAATTCGAAAGGAATTCTGCACAGAGCCAAAACTGTTATTGTATCCATTGGTTAATGATATTCCAGTTATCTTTTGTCTAACTATATCTCTTAATGTTTTTTCTAAATTGTAGAGGGGAGATTTACCCAACTGAGCCATAGATCTTTTCTCCACATTTTGTTTCCCTTTATTGTCTAAATTGGTAACTTCATATCTTGGCATTTCCTCCTGATTTTGAAGATACTGAGCATTTAACTTTTCTTTCTTCAGAGTTTTCACTGTGTCCCACAGACCATGATTAGCTTCAGAGCCTGCAACATCTACTTCCTGTGGGTTAAACTGTGTGGATTCCTTCAAAGAAAAAAGTTAAAAATCTGACATGAAAAAACTAAACAGATTAAAAATGTCAAGGAAAATTTGGTTTTCTGACATTGTTGTAAGAGGTTTCTAATAACACCTAAGATAGATCCAAATTAGGAACATGTTGCACTGAGGAAATAGGAAGCATGAAATTAAATGTCTCAGTCTAATATGAGCTGCTTTTATTAGATCTGTGCTCATACTTATGTTACAAGGTACCACAATTTAAATACCTTCAAAGCACATGACACTTTTTAATTTGTTCACAAACTAGGGATATGAAGAGAAATAAGAAATGCTCTATAGCCCTCCCAGAAAATCTCAGAACAAGAAAAGACTTGTGAGTGAAATGTGTCTTCAGTAGAGTCAACTGGCTTCAAAGATAACCTGTCTTTCTGTTTTTCATTCCAGCTTCTTCCTACAGATTGCAGGTGAGAGTGTCTCTACCCACCCTCAGTCAGAAGCAACATGGGAAGTAGAAAATGTGGCTATGATAATGTTCTATCTGTGGTGCTATCTGCTCCGCACAACCGCAGGGCAGGTGAAAGGTGCTGCCCATTGTTCCACCTCGCTAGGAGAGTTTGTACCATACTTCCTTTGGCAGTTTGTGTGAATCATGGCACGGTGCTCACCCATTATCTGGGATTAGAATGTAGGGGCTGTGTAGTCAGTATAAGGTATCAATGGGGCCAAGAATTAGGCATTACTCACATTTAAAGAGAAATTCTTTAAAAGAAGTCACCCTTGGTGGTCATTAATGTAAATTTTAAAAGATCCAGCTAGTTTCATTATAAATGGAAATGTGATATTTTTCTGATCCTGTTTCACTGTTTGACTGTTCACACTAGTGAGAAGACTGAGATTACAAATATGCATTAAATCAACTCTATCTACTAATGCCATTTATTCTTTGTACAGTACTGAAAAACATTGAATATGGATTTTTAAATGAACAGTTTCGAAGCCTTTCTGGCCTTTACTCTGGGACATCTACTGAATCTGGTTATCTTTAGGAGGTCAGTAAGTGAAAAAAAAGAACTTCCAAAATTGAAACTTTCCAAACAAAACAATTGCTCTGCGATGTGAGAAATTCCTTAGCAAATACTTTAAGACTACACTAACATGAGCTTGCTATACAAAGCTATCTGCTCAAGGCTTTCCCTTCTCATTCAAACCTGTTGCAGATAAATGGACAAGTAAATTTAATGGAAGACTACAAAACACCCACACCATCCATTTCTTCCTGCTCACATTTTCTGTATCTACCTAGAAAAGCAGATATACTAGTATACTGCCCTGGGTAAAACCATCCTAAAGTTTAGCAACACAAAATGTGTGTGACAGATGGCAAGGGTGAGACACAATTCCTTGGAAGAATTTGGGTACACCTTTTATAAACCCACAATTGGGGTTATTAGAGACAAGCCTATTGAAAATAAACCATAATGAGTGCAATGTGTCTTCCATGAAATCTATTTTAAATAGGTGACCGCTTAACGGTAAGGGTTGTATCTCAAAAAGTTTGGTATCTACCAAAACTGAACAACGAATAAATGGGAAAGAGCCTGACTGCAATTTTCCTCAGAAGCACCATTAGCAACCAGAAGGCCTCCACCACCTCTGACCCAGTAGGAATGTCCTCTCTTCCAGAGGCACCTCAGCTTTAGCTCTGTCCACTTTCTTTGCTGGTATCTGTCCCCCCCCCCCTTTTTTTTAGGGCCCCAGCCTTATTCCTCTTTTCCTGGGCTTTCCTCTCTTTCTCCTTTCTTTTTCTGGACAGTGATTAAAGGTCAGTTAGTCAGAAGATATTTATTTGGCATTTGCTCTCCTCCCCACTCCTTCCCCACTGAGGGTGGGGAGAGGAGAGGGCAACATGGACAAACAACAGATCATCTAAGTTTCCAGGAATCTCACTGCTAACCACGGGGCCTGACGGAGACAACTGAAGACAAAAGACACTGTGATGCATTCATCAAAGAGGAAAGATGCAAAACTGAGTTGGTCAATTACAAGCATGTACATAGAGAATAGAAAAACAGGACTACAAAAATCAAAGGACGAGCCTCTAGCCCCCACTTTCTCAAACTGTTATGGAATACCACAAAACTAGGAAAATTCCAGGAGAAGTGAAATGAGGAAACAAAGACATAGTTAACCAGCAGTTTGCAGCCACCTAGTAAATCCTATCTTCCCTAAACCAAGGACACTTAAGAGTAAATGCTTTGCACTTCTCCTCACCAAATAGAGGGTAAAGGCTTAAATTACACTACTCAAGGAGAGAGATAGCAGGAATCCAATTAGTGCCATTTGCCAACTACACCTAAGGACAGACAAATTAAGAGAATAAATCTCATTTTGGTGCATCAGCATAGAGCTGATGAATATCCTACTGATCCTTCCCACAAGACCCCTTCAAATGCCCAGCCTTTAAAACCCCTGAAAACAAAGGGCCCAGGGTGCTCCCCCTCTAGGGAGTCCACCCTTGCCATTCCATTCCCCCTCTCTTTCCCCCACAGGTACACCTCCTAAACTCCAAGGGACCCCATGAGACTTGCAACTAGGGTAGCAATGGGCAGCAGCAGTTCTTCCCAGGCTAAGTCCCTGAACCTGTCTCCAAGGCCCCCTTTTCCCTGACTTCTCAGTGAGCCAAAGCAGCCCAGCCTAGGTTCTCCTGTTGCTTCTTCTATGATCTTTATTTCACTGTCCTAAGTATACTTTTGCTGCAGTCAAGAAATTCTTGTTTTCTTTTCTACACTTTGTCTCTTGATTGAAATATTTCCTTCAAGAAGACAAGAATCAAGGTCTCCTCATCTCGCCAGTAACAAAACCACATGCAGGGATTACCAGACCAGCTTTAACAGTAATGATTTCATTTTTTTTTTTTTTTACATGCAAACCTTCCATGAGCTGGTTTCACATAGCCAAATAAAGGTAAGTCAAGGCACTCGGAAAACTGTAAGGGTGAGAACTGGTCCTTAATACATATTACAGCACAGTACACTATCATAAAAACATACTAGCTTAGAAGAATATGGGCTTTTTTTTTTTTTAATACTGTTTTCTGAAAATACAAACTCTTTTGGTTAGGCCCTTATAGAAACATGAGGAAAGACCAAAAGAAAAAAAAGGACAGTTATCTGAGTGAGGACTTAGCCAAAAGCTAAATTATTATCTAGACTGCATGTTCAGTCTAGAAATTTGAGGGGAATAGTTACTTTGACTAGGCACAACTTCTAGTCAGGTTTCACAGATGTTACCTCAAGTAACTCCTATCACCTTGACAGCCAAAAAAAGAAAGGCACAAGGAAGGATACTCTTTATCTCCCTTCTTGAATGGCTGTAATTTACATGAAAGACTAGAAGAATAAACATGGAAGGGGAGGGGCCAGAAGGTACAACTGGTTTTCAGAGCCCTGAAGTTCTGGCTCATTTGTGCCTTCTTGAAAAACCTTTGACAATCCAATAGCCCTTTCTAGTCTCAAGTTCCTAAATTGGGAAACAATGATAAGTTCGAAGAAAAAAGATTCATAGAAAGAAGTTAGGTCAACAAGAAATATAGTGCCAACAAATCAATCCATGCCTTCTTGCCTAAGGGTTAGTTTGAATATTGACCATCCTATGGAAGAATACCTTTTCTAGATCTAAAAAGAGGTTTTTAAAAAAACATTTTAGATTGGCAAGCTAGTTAAAAGTTGGTAAATTTTAGGTAAATTTCTACTTTTTAAAAATTTGGTAGGTTAGAGTTTTTATTATAAAAGTTTCTGGCCTTTCTAAAAACCACTTTAGCTTAATTAACCAGGCTAGTCTTATTATTTCTCATTGTTCTCCCTAACAATTGTTCTCACTCTTTTTTTTTTTTATCCTCACCCGAGGACATTTTTCCATTTTTTGTACAGATAGAGTGGGAGGGAGAGAGAGGAAGAGACAGAGAGAGAGAAACATCGAGTGGCTGCCACCGCATGACCAACCAGGGCCGGGGACAAACTGCAACCGAAGTACATGCCCTTAGTGGGAACCGAACCCGGGTCTCTCCGGACCGCAGGTCGATGCTCTAACTGCTGAGCCAAACCGGCCAGGGCTCGCTCTCTTTTTTTAGCTTTTTTTTTTTTTCTTTATTGATTTCAGAGAGAGAGGAAGGGAGAGGGAGAGATAGAAACATTGATGATAAGAGAACATCAATTGGCTGCCTCCCACATGCCCCCCACTGCGGATCTGGCCCATGACCTGGGCATGTGCCCTGATGGGGAACTGAACCAGTGACCTCTTGGTGCATGGGTTGACGCTCAACCACTGAGCCACACTGGTCAGGCAAGGATAATTTCTTTTAAAATCTCTTGTTTTCAACAATTTTTTTTCATTTTGACTTTGTAACAGCACAGCTGAAAGACTGCAGGCTCCCATGGAGTTCTCCATTCTGAACCAATTTCTGCCCCCCTCCCCACCTTAATGTAATCTATCAAGTCTAGCCAGTCATCCAAAGAGATAAATCTATAAATGAAAGGTAAAAAAAAAACCAACCTTGTTTGTTAAAGTTGGTCTCCTTACCTTACAGCTTCTTTCTCTTCTCTCTTATTTTCTTCTTTCTTCCTCCAGCTCTTGCAATTTTAGCCTTTCTTGATTTTTCCTCCTTATGGCTCCTTTACTGCCCCCAAATATTTCAAAGTTGCATTATACAAGTTACCCAATGTGTCTCAGGCCAGAGAAATAAAACTAACATGGACACAGGCAATTCAAAACCAAATGAAAAATGTTCTTTCTATATCCCAGTACCCATTCTGTTCTACTGCTTCTGCTGAGCCTTTTAAACAGTCCTGTGGGTTCCAGAATTTTCTTTGGCAGAACCTTGAGGAGCTCACTTCACAGTCACAGGTGACATCACAAGGCCATTACAGGCACAGACTTTGATGGGCACAAGCTGGGCAGCTGGGCAATGGTATATGTGTGGTCATTACAGTCCTTGCTATATCTTTTGTCTGACTGAATAGCTCATAATTTTAAAATGTACATTTTAACATAAGTAACTTCACACATAACATACACACACATTCATACATAGGAAGCTACTTAAGCTAAAGGCATAAATTCATGCTAAAGATTAATTTAGAGAAAAGAGAGGGTTTAGAAGCATCTTTACCTCTGCTGGATTAAGATTTCAAGGAGATGACTAAGCAGTCAGACATCAACAAGGTGACATGACGGGACAGACAGGCTGAGTTTGAAAGGAAAGAATCCAAGTTTGTTGGGATTATGTTTTAACAATTTACCTGACATCTTGAAAATATAGCGATGCCAATAATAAAAAGAGTAAACTGTTCTCTTTGTGCTTTCGAATTGCATATATTCCTCTCTCTCAGCAGATTGTCAAGTAGAATAAGCACACGAGATATTTCTATGAAAGCCATGAAACATCCTTTAATGCTTTGAAGAAGTAAGAGCAGAACCCCAGATTATAACAACAATCACTTTAAAACTCAGCTGGTAGCATGCCTCATAGTAAAAGAATGTTCAAATCAGAATTATTTTTCATCCTAAGCATCCATTTGCTAATGACAATACAAATATTTACATGAACTATTGATCAGAGCTTAGTAGAGTCTAAGGAAATGTATTCTAGATGCTTCCTTATAGCTTTTACTTAGGACCACATGAACAGTGGGAAATAAAAGAAACACTGGCTACCTTACCTTAATATTACATGCTACAACTTTTCCATCATTCTTTTAAGCATCAGCTTCATCCCTCAAAGGGACTCTATGGCTTTTAGCCAGTCTGTTGACTCTTGGTACTGTATAAAGGCCTCAAATGTCTGTAAGCTGAAGCTAAAATCCTCAAAGCTTCCAACAGTCATTACCTCTGTGTAGGGGTCAAGTATAGGCATATCCACATTCTTGATCTTTCCAAAACTCTCAAAGACAACCTGGAGGATCTCTTCACATAGCTTCTCCCCACTGGAACCTCAGGTGCAAACCACTTGCAGGGCAAGCCTTCAAAATGTATGGAATCCAGGCTCATGTTATGGTCCAACTCATCAGTCCCATCACTTGATGGGGCCTCTTATTTCTTGGGAAAGTGATCCCACTCTCCCTGGGCATCTGTAGCCACTATTTTTAAGTCTGTTTTCAAACCATTTAGCTTGATGATCTTTCCATGTAATTTTGCCTTCAGGATTTGAACCAAACTTTATGTTTCAGCCTCCCCCTTGAACCAGATGAAGTCCTTCATATTCTTGGAGAGTCGACTGTGGTGAACTAATCAGGGCAAATCAAGCCCCTCAGTTGATCAAGAACTTCCCAGTTTGAGAAAGGCCTCATAGGTTCTGTACTCTTTGGTAGCAATATGTTGATCATGAATTATGCTATGGGTTTGATGTAGAGGTGCTGAGCTGTACAGAGATCTGTTGCCTCAGAGTTATCATATATCACCGTGACAGTCATCATATCTTCAGGCAAGCTTGGACGGCAAAAGGGAACATTTTCAAACAAATGGAGCAAGACACAAGTTTGGACTTAGAATGGTGCTAGCATTTGCTGGACTTAAGTCAAACTGAGAGGGGAAAGGATACTATAGGGAGACATAAAACAATAACTTACATTTATTTAATGTGTTTTAGAGGTTTCAAAGAGTTGCCATGTACTGTTTCAGTTTCCTTAACTGGGAAATAGAAATAATAGGATTTGGGGAAGGTGAAATGAGAGAATACATGTGAAATTCTTAGAACAGTGCCTGACACACAGGAAGTTCTCAATAAACATAAGCTATGACTTGTTTTGATTTTTTTTTTTAGAGATAGAGGAAGGGAGAGAGAGACAGATACATTGATGAAAGAAAAACATCAATTGGCTGCCTCCTGCACATCCCCTATTGGGGATCAAGCCTACAACCCGAGCATGTGCCCTGATCTGGAATCAAACCAGTGACTCCTCAGTCCATGCAACAACACTCAATCCACTGAGCCACACCAGACTTTTTTTTTGACATTAAAAAATGGCTACCATTTCCATCTCACACCAAAGCAAAACTAAGCAGTAAATTCTACAGCAGAGGTCACAACTCAGTGACCACATGAACAGCAAGATGGTCTCAGTGAGCAAAGGACACTGAACAGAAAATGAGAGGTATGTTCCATCCAAAGGGACACTGCTTCTCAGCTCTAGCTGCAATGAGGGAAGGAGGGACAATGTGCCCAGCTACTCCTGTTATACTAGAGAGGCCAAAAATCTAGGTCTTTATGTAAAATTACATTTTCAGATGTTGACAATAAATTAACACAATTTAAAAGCATTACAAATTATGAATAAACATTTCTATAGGCCTCATTGGCTTGCCAGTTCATGACTTCTGCTCTATAGTTTAACTTTTCACAGTCATTTCTCCAGTGAAAGGACTCTACACCTTGATTAGGAAGCATTTAAGTTAATTTCTAACTCTCCCAAGAAGACCCGATTGCTTTTAACAATGAAAAAAACTTGCCTCCCTTATAATCTGCAACTCAAATTTCTTATTTCCAACAGCACCACCAACAAATTAAACATTTATTCTTCTCTCATATCTTCTCCAGTTGTTCACAGGCTTTAGATTTTAAAATTAAAAGTGTATGAATATTTCATCTTAAAATACTCTCCCAGAATAAAGAACTAATTTTCTAATCTTATTTTTTTTAAAATTACTTAGGACCTCATATGTACCAAGAAGTAGGCTTTTTACATATGTCATGGTTCCAATACTGCAGCAACTTCTGCCAGGTCCCTAAAAATTAACTAGACAGTGGCTGGCATATAGGTGCACAATAGTGATAACTCCCATTGTGATGCCCCTTCCTTAAGACCTCAGTCCCAAAACTAACAAAAATGAAGAAGAAGGAGTTGGAGAAAGGGGGAAGAGGAGAAGAAGGTGGAGGAAGAGGAAAAGGAGAGAACGAAGAAGAAAAGAAAAGGAAGGCGGGAGAGAGGAAAGGGTAGATCTATAATTACTGAGAGGTAACAGTGCTCATGATTCTTTTTAGAGGGAAAAATAAAAAGCAAATTACACAATAAGAATGTGTAATATGATGTTTCTTTTGTAAAAGTAATATAATAAATATAAGCAATATAATCACGAGGGGAACCAAAGTTTTACCACCCCAGAAATGTGCCTTTTGGGATGTTGATTTTTAAGCTAGTTATTAAGAAACAAAAGACTCAGAAAGAACTGTTGACTCTCTCCATTAACTTCCTAAATGAATTCAAGTAGGAAATCCTGCTTAAAGGGAGCATTACCTTAGCATCACAAGAAAAACTAAATGTGTCAGTGAGAAATCTAGCAAAGCCTGTTTGTTAGACTCTCCTCTGTGTCCCATTGTTTCCAGGTAGCCCAGCAAGAATTTGTTCACCACATGTTTGCTCTTTGTATACCTGTAAATTGCCTACTTTTCTTTTGAAGTGCCAGACCTCTACCCCACTTCTCTTTTGTTCAAAATGGCATATACATCTCAACTGCCCAATATGTCTTCTGCTCTCATAACTTATGACAGCCCCACATGTAAATCTGTAATACAATTTAGACATTTTCTCCTGTTAATCTGTCTCATGTTAATTTAATTATTAGTCCAGCTAAAAGAACTTAGAAGGTGGGAGGGAAATTATTTTTTGTGCCCCCCCCAACACATGCATGGGCATGTGTCCACGCACAAACACACACATACCTCTCTACATATAAAGTCTGGAAAGATGTACATCAAATTTTCAACAATATTTCCCCTGGGAAATGGAATGGAAGTATAGGAGAGGAATGAACTTTCCAATTTTACCTTGAACACTTCTTGTTGCTTCAGTGTTTAAATGTTTACAATAAATGTGTTAATTTTGTATTAAATTTGTCCAATATAAAGAGTTAACTTACATAATAACAAACTATAAGAAGGAAGCAATTCACAACTGCTAACATAAACTTGCTCAGAAAAGGGTCAAAACTGAGAAATGCAGTAGCAATTCCCTCCCCCATCAGAAGTCCCCCTCTATCTGCCATCACTGTAAACGGTAAGAGGCATCTGAACCCATAACCAAAGATTGTGTGAGTCATGACTAAAGCCTGGGAGATTAGAATAGGAATTTTAATAAGAAAAGAGCAGATACCAGATACCATAGGCTGCAGAAGTTATTTTTTAAAAACTGCTTAATTGAAACATAACTAATATATAACATAAGGTACACATATATCAAAAGTGTACATTTTGATGATTTTTGACATATGTATACACACCTATGAAACCATCACCTTTTGCAACCCTTTCTCCACCCCCAGCAACCACTGATCTGGCTGCAGAATGTTTACATAACAGCTGATTCATTGTATATTAAAAACAGACAGATGCTTTTGGAAAATACTGAGTTATATCCTATACTCAATTTTAATATATGCTTTCTTCTAAATCAGGATACTTTCTTAACTCCAAGCTTTAGTGTGCCAATTCTTGAGTCTAGTTACAGCTACATAGGGCCCTACTTTGCTCTTGAAAATAGGTCTAAAAAGGTCTGTGCTTTTCTCCCCATACAATCTTTGTTTTTAACCTCATCTAAACAAAATAAACAACCAGGTCAGGTAGCTAAGTTGGTTAGAGCATTGTCCCAATGTTACTGGAGAAATCAGGGGGCTAGATTTCCCCATCACTCATAGGGGTGAGGTTCTTGGGGTACCGCTGAAATAAGCATTTTCAGAAGCCCCCACAGGAGAATGAGATGTGCTAAAATACTTTTATTTGTGTGGAGTTACATTCCTGATTCCTGGTGTTGTAAAGTCTCAGTTCCCTTAACACAGTCCTGGAAAAGGGGCAGCTGTGGGTTTAGCAGAGGTAGAAGCAGGGCCAGTGTCCAGTTTCCATTCCATGATGAAATTGGGCCTGGCAGAATATCAGGCAAGATTCATTCCATTAATCCATTGCATGGGTCTCACATGGCTGTATGTCATGTGAGCAAATGCAGGGGAGTACTCCCCCTGCAACAGGAGTCCCAAGAGAACCAAGAGAGAGGGAGAGAAAAAACTTCCTTTGTTCAGGAGATTATGTATCTCAGAAGTCACACCCTTGCAGTGGCCACGCCTATTCTGGCCACTGACTGGTTCCCAGGCACTTTCCCACATTACTCACACCTTAATGGGTATGTGCCTAAACTGCCTCTGTCCAGTCCCTTCCCCCATACATCTATGGGAAACAGACCTGGAGTGTTAAACTGTAGTTCTCTGGCAAAGCTGTATAAGCGGCATGCCTATATTATCTAGTCTCCCCTTCACTCCTTTCCTGTTAAATAATAACCAGATTATTGTAATGTATCAAATCCCCCCTGAGGAAAATGGAACCTCTTGGTAATGATATAAAGGAGAAGTGGGCAAAGGTCTTTTTTTTTTTTTTTTTTTTTTTTTTTATAACCGCTTTCTGCTGTCAAGGGATGCAGACCTGTCTATTCCAAGGCTTAGAAGTTTTCCCTGTCTAAGAGAAGAAGGGGGAAGAAAAAATGGAGAGGAGTCTATATGCATGGAAGAGGGATTCAGCAAAGTCCAGGTCAGGCTGGTGTCCCTGGTAATTGGCCTGGGCGATGTCCAAGAGGTTGACATGTTGGACGAGCTGCATTCTTACTGTATTTTAGAAATGATAAACTTGACAAGAGGTTAAAAAGCACAATTCAAAAATGACGAGATTTATAACAACTAAAGGCTAAGTGAGAGGCAAATACCTGTGTGACAAAGGAAAAGATTAATTTATAGTGTCCTCAGATGGGTTGGAGTAGTGGCTTTCCTGGAGGCAGGTGTATCACACCTGTCTGAAGTCCTTTGTTCACCACATTTAACCCAAATTAAGCTAAGGAAAATATTTTAAGATTTTCCCCATGAGAAACTGTGGGCCTTTTCTGTGTGACCTGTTTGGGCAGAAAAGAAAAAGCAGTTTCAAATGAAGCCGATAGACCATTCATGTTTCATTGGCTCTCAACCATAAGTCCAGACTGTTGAGTCTCATTTCAGAAGACAGTAATGTAGATGGCTTCTAAAGCGAGGCCTATATTGTGTAAGTAAGCAAACATAGGCATACATTCTATAAAAACAGAAGCAAACAAAACATAAAGGTTAATAAACACAGCAAATCATAAACCAGTCGAGAAGCCTTTTAAATGTAAGGCGTTTGCGGGAATGAAAGCAAGCATATGATAGATTGTCCGTAGTTAGAATAGCTCTGGTGATGCCATTAAGTGCTGAGGTCTGTATGGCACACACAGACACAGCCTTAAAAATAAAACCTTGAAGACAGTTAACTGCATTGGAGTTTAATACCCACAGTTGGGCATTGTGGTTTTCATTGAAGTACACTTTTTTCTCTCCCTAAGATTACACTTATGTTTAGTTCTAGTTTCAATTGATTATTTGTACAAAGATGACATGAGTAGCAATTGATTACATTGATTGCATAGGCTTTCTCAAATTTTCTTTGCTGGAATCTCTCTTATTTATAAGGAATCTTTAGACTGCACCCTAGTGAGCAGTCACTCCCCCCCCCCCCCCCCAGGAGAGAGAAGCCAAAGTCACAATTGCCATCAGGCTGTGCCTGGAACACTTGTAGATTTGGGTCATGTCCTTAAGTCTTTGAAGTTCCCAACATATCCTGGGGTTCCTTTCTTGTGATCTTTCAGGAAAGCAACCTTTGTTCTTCTCCTGGAAAATCTGTCATGAACCATGTGACCAAGCAAGGTATTAGGCCTTTTCTTGTAAGTGGCTTCTAATCAGCTTCAATTAGCTTTGAGAGTCAATCTCAATTCCTTAAGACTTTCTGGTGGCATCCAGAAACCAAATATGTCTCTTTTACACATGACACTCGAGTTAAAGTCTTAGTCAATAAGACTATATAGTTTTGAACTTGTCTTATTGGATTTACGTAAAAAGATGTATTGCCATGACTCACTCATTAAGAATTGCCAAATTCTGGAATGATTAGGTAGGGAGGTAAAAGCTAAAGTGAGCAATTATCATCCCCTAGACTAGCAAACACATTCTATAACTTTTAGAAACAAAGGCTTTCTTATTGGCAAACATTAAAAGTTGATGATTTAGCAAACCATAGGTGAACTGAGTTAAACTGATTAGTTTAGATATGATCTATTTCAGAATCTGCATTCCAATAGATTACTCAGGTAAGTGTACTGGAGACCAGATACTAGCATCATAAAGGCAGTTTCTTTTGACAAACTCAGAATAAAAGTCCATGCCAGAGTGGGCACTCCTGAGGAATGAAAAATTGCATTATTGTTCATTTTGGGGAGAGAAGAGAATCTCCTCCTGTGGGAGAGAGATTAGAAAGTTGAGAAAAAGTATGAATGGTCTCAATTTTTTATCAGTTTTTGGTCATGTGTCAGGGTCTAGGATCAGCACAGGATCCCCAATGCCAATATTTGTGTCCAGAGACATGCCCCTCCTTTCCTATGCTGGGGCAAAGACCTTCCCAAAATGGCAATACAATTTTGTCCAGATATGGAGGGTTACCAATGTCAGTGTTGATCAACACTATTTGGTTGGACTTACTTAACTCAACATGGGTGATTTTGATGGCCTCTGATATTACTGGAGACTTTCATCCCTGTGTCTGTCTGTACAAAGGATGTCTATTGTACCTACTGTCTGAGATAGAAAAAAGTCTGGCTCTTTTAATTGGCTTTTAGTAGCTAGTAACCTGTCACTGTCTCTGTTTTTCTAATGGCCTCGGTCCCTTTAGAGGCTTGGTAGCAGTGAGACAGCTTCCTTTGGAAAAGGAATTAGCATTCTCAGTTAATTTGACTGGATAAAATTTAAAATCCCAGGCCCTGAGTTTAAATTATATTTTTAGTCAGTTTTCATATCAAGTAACAAAAATATTTTATTTCTTTGAGTATCTGTATATTTTAGTCTTTTCTATTAACCATATCTGTGGAAGAAGCATTAGTTAACAAGCAGTAACATTGTATAAATTTAAAACGTAATTGTGTTTGCAAAAGACTAACAAGAATTAGGTTAAAGATTTGCAGCTGAGAAGTTTGGTTTCGTTGCTGGGTTACAACCTTTTGCCCCAAATAACATGGCCGCTGGGGCAGAGCGTCTGCCCTTAAGCCAAGCGATTTCAATGACAATTTCTGCCCTTAACCAAAATGGCAGAATAGTAAAGCTGTGGCTTCTGCTCCCTAGCAACGCAGTTGCCAGGGGCAGTGCCCTGAGTCAGGCAGTGTAGTACAGAGAGGAGCGGGCCATCTCAGTGAGTAGGATCAGCTTGCCAGGGGAAACGAATTATAATGGAGTTTCTAATCAGTGTCCCCTCCCTTCTCTTCCCCAGCACATAGCCACAGAGTCCAGTGGAGCACCCTAAGCCTGCAGGGTGATGGGGCACTTTAGGTCCCAGGCTAGAGGGGTGGGATTTGGTGGCCCCTCCTGCTGCATGCTGGGGGCGGTTGGGGTTTCATGCCCTAGGAGTAAATTCAAGCAGTAACAAGTGTGTATTGGTATCATTTACATGTTGCTCTGGGGTGTTTCCAAGTCACAAGGGGTGGGAACAGAGAGAAACAAACAGTAGAAACGCAGGCAGAGTACAGAGAGGTGGGGAGAGAGTTTTGCAAACCGGGAGGAGAATTTGGGCTTTAGATGGAAAATCCTTGGAACATCAGGTTGCTGGTCCCTGCTAGGGCTTAAAGAAGCTGGGAGCTACACTTCCCCACCCCAGGCCCCAGACTCCATAGTGAGCCATTGCTCTGGAGCCTTTGGAGCTGCCTGTAAGGCACGCCCAGCTGGGTGCACAGAGACAAAAACAAACAAACAAACAAACAAAAAAAACGGAATGGCACAAGAGAGAAGAGACAAACCAGTTTAGAGAAGTGAAGTTTTTTCTCACTGCAATGTAGATAATCCAGGCCAGATTTTTGTTCTTCCCTTTGCAGGCCAGATGCAGGCAGGAGCTGCTGCAGGTGTGATTCCTGTCAGCTTTAACCTTCTTTGCTGCTTTTCCTCTGAGTCCTGGTCTGGAGGGATCTTTACCATGTGTTCCACAAGTCCACGCTCCTGGTCAGACTTCCCCTGGTTGGCTTGCCTATCTGTTACTGGAGAAATCAGTGGGCTAGATTTCCACATTGCTTGTGGGAGTGAGGTTCTTGGGTTACCACTGAAATAAGCATTTCCCAAAGTCCCCACAGAAGAATGAGATGTGGTAAAAGAGTTTATTTGTGTGGAGTTACATTCCTTGGGCTGTAAAGTCTCAGTTCCCTTAACACAGTCCTGGAAAAGGGGCAGCTGTGGGTTTAGCAGAGGTAGAAGCAGGGCCAGTGTCCATAGTTTCCATTCCATGATGAAATTGGGCCTGGCAGAATATCAGGCAAGATTCATTCCATTAATCCATTGCATGGGTCTCACATGGCTGTATGTCATGTGAGCAAATGCAGGGGAGTACTCCCCCTGCAACAGGAGTCCCAAGAGAACCAAGAGAGAGGGAGAGAAAAAACTTCCTTTGTTCAGGAGATTATGTATCTCAGAAGTCACACCCTTGCAGTGGCCACGCCTATTCTGGCCACTGACTGGTTCCCAGAAGTAATTGACAGGTAAGCACCTTCCCACATCATCCATGTTACTGGGCTTGGGCTTAAACTGCCTCTGTCCAGTCCCTTTCCCCATAAATCTATGGGAAACAGACCTGGAGTGTTAAACTGAAGTTCTCTGGCAAAGCTGTATAAGCGGCATGCCTATATTATCTAGTCTCCCCTTCACTCCTTTCCTGTTAAACAATAAACAGATTATTGTGATGGCATCACCAATATGCCAAGGTTGTGGGTTTGATCTCTGTTCAGGGCACATACAAGAATCAACCAATAAATAAGTGGAACAAATCAATGTTTCTCTCTTCCCTCTCTCTCTCTCTCTCAGACCAATTAATAAAATTAAAAAACAAACATAGTTTTAAACAGTGTATCTAAAATTAGATATATTATTTAATAGACATATTTAATGTGTGTCTTAATACATATTTAGTTAAATATATTAATATTTAATTAATATTATATGTCAAAAGAGGTGAAATAACTAAGATCAAGTTATTAGGTTATGACTTAAAACTGATTTTTTAGAACAACCTAATTTGCCCTCTAAATTCCCTTTTAATATGTCTGTGCTTCTGTTGACAGCAATGGTAGACTTCATTAAAATTTTTTTCCATCATTTTCACCAATCACTGTCACATGCATTGACTACTTTATTCAAAGATGTAAGAGCCTAGTATAAATCAAGTCCTGATGGCAAAGAATGCCAAATACCATAGTTATGGCCTCCATATATTATCAGAAAGTTAAACTTTAATAAAAGATTTTTCACTATTCCAATGTTCTATTATGTTCCACCATGACCTCCCCAATCCCTCCCAGCACATACACACATCTTTCTTCTCACCTGAAGCAACAGTACTCCAAAGAGGACATACAGATGGCCAACAGACATATGAAAAGATGCTCAACTGCCACTATCATCAGAGAGATGCAAATCAAAATCACAATGAGGTAGCACCTCATACCTGCCAGAATGGCTACCATCTATAAATCAACAAACAAGTGCTGGTGAGGATGTGAAGAGAAAGGAACCCTAGTGCACTGTTAGTGGGAATGCAGACTGGTGCAGCCACTATGGAAAACAGTATGGAGTTTCCTCAAAAAATTAAAAATCGAACTGCCATTTGACCCAGTGATTCCACTTCTAGGAATATATCCTAAGAAGCCTGAAACACCAGTCAGAAAGAATATATGTACACCTATGTTCATAGCAGCACTATTTACAATAGCAAAGATCTGGAAACAACCCTGGTGTCCATCAGTAGATGAAGATAAAAAGCTGTGGTACATTTATACAATGGAATACTATGCAGCTGTAAGAAAGAAAGATCTCTTACCCTTTGAGACAACGTGGAGGGACCTGGACAGTATTATGCTGAGTGAAATAAGCCAGTCAGAGAAAGACAAGTACCATATAATCTCACTTATTTATGGAACATCATGAACAAAATAAGCTGTCAATCAAAATAGATTCATAGTCTTGAAAGTAGAGAACAGACTGACAAACATCGGAGGGATGAGGGGGTGGGAGGAGTGGAAAGAGATAAACCAAAAAACTTATATGCAACCTAATGCACAACCAATGGACACAGACATTAGGTTGGGGAAAGCAGGAGGGGGGTGGGAGCAGGGAGGAGGGAGTTGTTGAGGGGGGAAGGGGAATATATATATATATATATATATATACACATACATATACATATATATAAAGAATATGTGCATCCCTAACTATGTTCATAGCAGCATTATTTACAATAGCTAAGATCTGGAAACAGTCCAAGTGTCCATCAATAGATGAGTGAATAAAAAAGCTCTGGTACATTTGCACATGGAATACTATGCAGCTGTGAAAAAGGATCTCTTACCCTTTGAGACAGCATGGATGGACCTTGAGATTATTATGCTAAGATAAATAAGGCAGTCAGAGAAAGACAAATATTACATGATCTCACTCATATGTGGAATCTAATCAACAAAATGCATTGGTGAATAAAATAGGTCCAGAGGCATGGATGCATGGAACAGACTGAAAGTTCTCAGAAGGGAGTGGGGTGGGTGGGGATGGGAAGAGATTAACCAAAGAACTTATATGCATATATGCATAGCCCATGGACACAGACAATAGTGTGGTGAAGGCCTGGGGTGGGGCAGGGACTGGGTGGAGGGGAGCAAAGGGAGGAAAATGGGGGACATCTATAAGACTGTCAATAATAAATAAATGTAAAAAAGCAACACTACTGAAATAACTTATTCTTTAATACCTTTGCAGAGGCAAGTGAGAGTTCCTCTATCCTTAAAAAAACTATAGTTACTCAATAATGTTTACAGTGTGCATTCTGGCAGTATCTAGTGTACACAACTTTACCAAAGCATTTCACTCAACATGTTCCCCATTCCAGAACATTTCTTTTTTTCCAGTTTAAAGCATAACTGCTGTATTTTTCTTGTAATCTTTTATTTTTTATTTTATTTATTTGTTTATTTTTTAACTTTCAGGGACCATTTCTACAGTTTGTTACCAGAATATTTCTAACAGATTCTCAGAGAACATGGTTGCTTTCTCTAGTCATCTGTCTACCTCATCTTTCTTGCCTCTATATCTAGTAGCAAAATTGACTGCAATAACAGTAGAATAAAAGTAGAGAGAAAATAAAACAGTCTTGAGATGTTCTCACAAGCCCTAAATGGTTGTTTCAACCTCAAGTGAAAGTGAAATACGTTCTGTAGTGTCTGCATCCAAAGTCACTACAATACCTTCTTTCATTTCAGAAGATACTAGAGAGATTCCTGCTACATCTGTTTTTTTATATCAGAAATATAACTTTAAAACTTTAAAAGCAGTTGAGTTTAAGCAAAGTATCCATCACTCATTCTCTCTCACTTTTTCTCATTTTCATCAATATTTGTTGTCAGAACTCTAGCAAGAACATTTGAATGAGGCACTTTTTAAAAAACAGTGAAAAAAACAGGACCATCTGCACAATTCAATATTGCCTTTCAAAGTAGTTCTTTGCTGCCTATCTTTTTCTTCAGGCTTTTCAACCTTAAAGTTAGTCATTTTGAAAGCATTTAAGACGTATTAAATTAATCCTGGCCAGTTTGGCTCAGCAGTTAGAGCGTCGGCCTGCGGACCAGAGAGTCTCAGGTTCGGTTCCCGCTAAGGGCACGTACCTCGGTTGCAGTTTGTCCCTGGCCCTGGTTGGGGTCCTGTGGGTGGCAATCACTCGATGTGTCTCTCTCAAGTAGCTGTTTCCCTCTCTCTCTTCCTCCCTCTCTCCCTCCCGTTCTGTCTGAAGATAAATGCAAAAAATATCCTTGGGTGAGGATAAAAATAAAAGAGATATATTAAATTATATTAACATATTTTCATAGTCAGCGGTGCGGCCAGAATGTATTTGGGTCAAATCAACTTAGCCAATTGCCAAAGTCCTGGCTAGTACAGAATCCTAGTAAGTCTTGACCAAATAGAACTAGTGCCTGGCTCTTCAGTTGAAAAGTCATGGATGAACATTCATGTGTTTTGATACATCATTAACCTGAACAACAATTTAAAAACTGAGCCTGACCATATGCTCTGATCTTGAAAAAATTTTAAATCACATCATTAAAATCAGTGGCCCTCAGTGTTGCAAAAATAAGTTATAGCCAAGACCCACCACGTGACTAAATTCTTGAATTAAAATGTTCCTATTGGGGCACCGAGGGCTCTTGGGGACAGAAAGGACTTTTGGAGATCTGCAGCCATTCAGCAATGATAAATATGTAACCATGAAACATGACTGTCCTACTGAGAGCAAATCTCTTCTATCACTGATTAAAGAAAATCTGCTCTAAAGTAGTTTAGTATGGGATATTTTGATTGGGAAGAAAACCAGATTCATATTAATTCATCTCTGGGCAACTTTATTTCAGGTTTTTACTTTCCTATTTTAAAAGATTGTGAATGTTTCCTTTATGTGATAATGTTTGTGAAAGCAAAGTGTTTTCAAGGCTAATCAAAATAAATTAACCGTAAGAAAGGTTTGTGTAGCCCTGGCTGGTTTGGCTCAGCGATTAGAGCATCAGCCTGCAAACCAAAGAGTCTCAGGTTTGATTCCTGGTCAGGGGCACATACCTTGGTTGTGAGTTCAATCCCTGGCCCTGGTTGGACCGTGAGGAAGGCAGCCAACTGATGTGTCTCTCTCACATAGATGTGTCTCTCTTTCTCTCTCCCTCCCACCCTATCTAAAAGAAAATTTTAAAAAAGGTTTGTGTTAGGCCTTTCTGTGCAAATGTGTTTACATAACTCTGTTAGTGAATATGGGAGTCAATCCATGATGGCATGAGAGGGAGCAATTTTGTGTGTGTGTGTGTGTGTGTGTGTGTGTTTTATTTTTTCCTATTAATTTATTTTTGTTACAGATGTTTCTTCCTTTTTTTTCCCTATTGACACCCTCCACCCCGTACCCGGCTTTATTGCCCATGTTCATCGGTTATGCACACATGCATATAAGTTCCGTGGTTTATCTCTTCCCTCTCCCCACCACCCCACTCTCTGAG